CACTTACAGTCTAGTCACTGGTTCTAACGATAACAAAAGCTGCAGAGTTTGAAACGGAGTTTGAAGCGGAGATATATAATCTAGGAGTCATCAAGACAAGGTGTGAGCAGATACGAAGTATAAAAAATATATATATCTATAGGAAAATTGTATTTGAAAAAAGATAGAGGGAAGGCAAATTAAATTAGAAAAACGGGGAGGGGAGTCTGTAGGGGAAGTACATGTATGACCCAGTAGTAATTTTATTTTGTTTCAGGATAAATAGATATACAGAAAATAGGCAAGTAAAAAGGGACAGTCTCATTTCAAGAAAAATAGAGTACAGCCAAGTGGAAAAGAAAGATCAGGAGGTAAGTCTACTATACTTAAGATTGTTTTTACATTTCTCCAAAGAAAGTATATGAATGACCAGCAAGTACATGAAAAGGTACTTAACATCACTAATCATCAGGGAAATGCAGATCAAAACCATAATGAGTATCACCTCACACCTGCCAGACTGGCCATCATCAAAAAGACAAGAAATAAGAAGGATGGCGAGGATGTGGAGAAAAGGGAACCCTCATGCACTGTTGGTGGGACTGTAAATTGCCACAGCCACTATGGAAAACAGCATGGAGGATCCTCAAAAACTTAAAAATAGAACTAGTTAAAAATACGATCTAGTAATTCCACTTGTGAGAATTTTCCAAAGGAAACAAAAATACTAACTCAAACAGTTATCTACATCCTCATGTTCATAGCAGCATTATTTACAATAGCCAAGACATGGAAGTGTCCATCGATGGATGAATGGATAATGGGTAATGAAAATGTGATACATTGTATATACAATGGAATAAAATTCAGCCATAAAAAAACGAGGAAAACCTATTATTTTTGACAACATGGATGGACCTTGAAGCATTATGCTAAGTGAAACAAGCCAGACAGAGAAAGACAAATACTGTATGATTGCACTGATCTGTGGAATCGAAAAAACAAACACCAGATTCGTAGAAAAAGAGGTCAGATTTGCGGTTACCAGAGGTGGAGGGTAGATGGAGGGGGAATTGGAGGAAGGCGGCCAAAAGGTACAAACTTCCAGTTACAAGATAAATAAGTACTGGGGATGTAATGTACAACATGGTGACTACAGTTAACACTGCTGTATGGTATATAGGAAAGTCAAGAGGATAAATCCTAGGAGCTTTCATCACAAGGAGAAATTTCTTTCCTTTTTTTCTTTTCTTCTTTCTTTCCTTTTTATTGTATCTAGGGAATGAAGGATGTTAGCTGAACCTATTAGCGTAATCATTTCACAATATAAGTAAATCAAACCATCACGCTGTACACCCTAAACTTACACAGTGATGTGTGTCAATTATTTCTCAATAAAACTGGGGAAAAAAAGATTTTTAATCTTTCCTCAAAAAACAAAAGTAGAAACCTAAAAGTTAATTTTCAACAAACGCCTTTTCAACAGACATTTCGTATACTTATTGTGAAATTAAGATGGTTTCTGTTTTTTTTTTACATCACCACACTGATCAAAGATAGTTTAAAAAAATAGGATAAAAAATAGAATAGGAAAAGCTGAACTTTAGTGCAAATATTACTTTTCTAAAGCAATATTGCACTGACAGTTTCTGTTACATTGTAGAAAACTCAAATTCCCATGTGGTATTCCAAGTTTTTAAGTAACTGTAATCAACAAAACAAAAAAGGGTGCACTTCTGTTTTGTTTCTGGTCCTACTTAAGCTCTACACCCAACAGTGGAAGACTGCTTTCTGGGCTACTGTCTCTGATAGTCATCTCTCGCCTTTATTTGCCACACTAGCATGTTCTCTGCTGTCTTTTCTAGACTAAGATGATTAGGTTTATAGAGCATTGATTTCTCATACCAGCGGACGCCTAGATGGGCTTGCTGTGGCACCTTTTGGCAAACTAACCTTTTGCCTCCTTGTCCTCATCACATGGACTGGGGAAGCAACTCTAAATTTAAGTCCTAGATCTATAACTTATAAATTATGAAACCTCTGGCAAGTTACTCATACTCTCTTAGTCTCAGATTCCTTATATTAAAATAAGGATAATAATACCTACCTTTGAAGAATTGACTTTTAAATGCTTAAATTTATTCAAACTTCTAGTTCAGTATAGATTTAGGTACAGGTGGTGGAATTCTTAGTTCTACTCACAGACCTCATGGCCCTTGTAGAACCCTAACAGGTCTCTGACCACTCGTACAAAAATAGTACCTGTCCTATGGTCCTGTAGGGCTCTTATCTAAATTTCAGGTCTCCTGTATAGATTTTGCCAATATCTCTCTTGCCCTTTTCTTGGAAATCACTATATTTTGCAATTCTGGATAGTCTACCTTTGCCCTCTGCCCTTTGCTTTCTAACCTGTCTGAAAAATGTTTATTTAGCTAGATAATAAGGTCAGTTTACTGTCTTGTTTCATAAGCTATCACCTGAGTTTTTTCTCATCAGAGACCTCAGGTTTCTACAAGGGCCTATTTTCTCTACTACATTACCTTCACACCAGGCCCCACTGTCTTATAAAAACATTCCACAGCACCATGTCACAGAAAACAACTTAGAAGACAACTCTAGGTTCTAATCTCAGTCCTCTAATTTACTAAATAAGTGTCTTGCGCGAAGTTATTTAGCCTATCGGAGTCTCAGTTTTTTCATTTGCAAAATAGGGAATATGTCCTGCCAACCTAAGAGGTCAAAGATCAAATGCAATAATGCAGGTGAATGTGCCTTGAAAATGGCCACTTTCTGTGATGCAGAAGGTATAATCCACTCAACAAAGAGGCAGCATTGCATAGTGGTGAAGGTGAAAGAGTCTGAGGTCAAGCTGCCAGAGCTGGAATCCTGGTTCTATCACTTACCTTTTAATATGTAAAATCAGGATTCTAGTACCTATCTCCTATGATATTAGCTCAATGATGTTAGCTATTACTGTTCATGAAATGCCCACTATGTGTCAGGCATTGTACTAGGCGCTGCTAATAAAATGGAATCAAGACAGACAGGACTAACATCTTTGCCCCAAACCTTCATCTCTTACTCCATATGCTACATTTTCTAAGTCATTTATGTAATATATACTTTAAAGCAAAGAAAAAATCTGAGTAGTAAAGCATTTCCACAGATCATCAAGATAGGACTCCATGATTTCACTATTTTTTTTCTGTGAAGATTTCCAGTGAACACAAAGTGACTCCAGTATTTCTTTTCCCAATTTATCACTTGAACGGAAACTTTCTTCATGACTTCTGGGTAAACTATCCGGGACTTTCTATCAAATACAAATAATCTAAGATAGTGTTTCTGAAAGTAACATCCAAAGACCAGCAGCCAGCTACCCAATCATCTAAATTGTTAATTAAAAGGCAGATTCCTAGACCCCATTTCAGAACTATTGATCCAAAAGCTCTGGCTGGAAGATGTGGGAATCTGCATTTCTAACAAGTTCCCAATGTGATTTTTATGCAAATCCTATTTGAGAACCACATTCCCAAGAGAGAAAAAACTTCCACTATATAAGAAATCTGTAACCAAAGGAAATAATGAAGATTAATGATCCAAAGCTTCAAGAAGGAGGAAAATTTCAATACTCAGAATAAATTTTCACATGCCTGTCTCTTAATAGGGTGGAGTCATCAATGCTCAGAATACACACCCTAACTGAATGTTCAAGAAATCCCTATTTTAGAAGCCACGGGAAAACATGAAAAAGGGACACTCTGAAAGAGCTCACCCATATTTCAGAAGAAGCAAAGAAAACTGTGTTATTGCAAGGGTCACACCTACTGAAATTGAGATTTGGTGATCTCAGAAAATGGAACCGGTTTCTCTTAAACTCAGACAACGACAGACAAACCTCCCTGTTCCAGGGCCCCACATCTACCACGAGGCCTGGATACTCTCTCAAATGTAAACCTCGCCTATTGGGAGTTAACTTGGTCCTGTGACCAATCAAAAGCAAGGAGAAATATGGTCTTTTGATAAAAGTAAACCGAAATAACCAATTAAAATTTAAATTTATACCTCTTGGCCCGATGGACTGTTATAGATGTCACTGAGACACAGAAGAGAACCAAGGAGCTCCAAATTCCTAATGGACGTAAACTTTCCAAATACTAACAATTCAAAGCTAATGAATAAAATAGTTCTCTACCCACCAAGCCACAGCGGCCTGCGTCAGCTCGTGTTCAGATAATCAAATGCCCTAAAAGGCTTTAGTTCCTAAGATGGTAGTGAGTTTAGCACTGTGACTGGAAGAAACGGGAGCGAGGGCGGTAACGACGCCCACCTGCCGCGCGGGCGGCGGCGGCCCGGAGGCGCAGGCGGGCGGCTCCCCTGCGGCGCGCCCCGGCCCGACGCCCCGCTCTCCGCCTGCGCGAGCACCGCCCACCCACTCCCCGCGTGAACCCCCGGCCTGGCCTCCCCTCCCCCGCCTCGGCCTGGTGCTGAATCACGAGCCCAGTATCTCCAAAAGGTAACATCGGAGAACAATGCCACCCTAGGGCCGGCCCGGATGGGCACCAGGTGGGGTGGGGCGGAGGCTGGAAACCCCAACTTTGCTTCCTTCTCCCCCGATTCCCACCCCACCCCTGAATTAAAACGAAGCCTGCAGCACCGGGGTCTCCCAGGCGGGCACCCCTTCTCCCGGGCTGCCGGGTTCTGCAGGCTGCCGCCGCCCCCGCCGCCTCATTGTTCCATCGCCGCGGCCCGCGGTCAGCGCCGTGGGAGCCCCGGCCCCCGCCCTCGCGCCGGTGGGCGCTGTCCAAATGCTGGGGCAGGAGGACGGGGCGGGCAAGGGCAGCCCGGGGCGCAGCGAGCCGGCTCCCGGGGCCGCCGGCAGACAGGGCGCAGCTCGGCCGCCGGCCCCCGCCCCGGACGCCGTGGCCGCTGGCGCGGGCGGCGCTCGGCCTCCTCGTCCGCACAGGCAGCAAGCGGAGGGCCAGTCCCGGGCAGCTGCAGGAGGGACCTGCGCTACTCACCCCAGCTGTTCCTGTCCCTGCGGTTCTTGGCCATGGTGGTCGCGCGGGGGCGGAGAGGCGCGGCCACAGCGCTCGCTGTCCCTTCCCGGGCGCAGGTGCTGGCCGAGGGCTGTGCCCGCGCTGGGCGCGCTCCACTCCACTCGCAGGAGGCTGCTGTGGCGCTGGAGGAAGGCGTGGGGAGAAGGGAGGAGAAAGCGGATGAGCCAGGCTCAGCATCACCAGCCCGAGTTCACACAAATACAGCGTCACACCCTCCCTGCCTCAGCCCACCCCCAGGGCGTGAAGACAGTGACAGACGAGGTTTTGCGACGTTTTCAATAGAAACACACACACAAATAAACAGCACTCTTCACACGCTCAAAGAATTTAACAGCACCATCCAGTCACAAATACACAAACTGCATTATTCTGCGTGGTCAAATACCTGTCTCCTAGAACAGTCACGCATTAGTACAAACATGCTGGCAACGTTTATACAGCCAAAGAAGTTAAAATAATCTGCGTTTATCTACCAGGCACCATTTTCCCGCATTTTAAAAGCAAGGTCATGTTGGTAAAGACCGTATCATGCATTTTTGTACCTGGATACTGAACAGGCCAGAGGCCTATCTTTTAAAATTAGGATAGCAAAATTTAGATCAAGAAGATAAAGATAAATGAAAGCTGGAGAGTCAGCACTAGCTGTAACTAACTCAATATCTAGTGGGCAAAGTTTCCCAATAGATTTGCAGAGATAAAGTCTGGAGTTATATTGGCAAATATTTTAAGTAAAGTCATACTACATAGTCTGGATGAGCCTTGGCAGCCACAAAGGCTGCAAACAGTTTTGAATGGAATGCAAAAGGCAATACATACTTTTTAAAGATAGCCTCAGTCTCTCCCTTTTCACTGATTTCTTCCTCTCCACCTACAAACTTAGTTTTCAGTATCCTAGAATCACTGTCCCTTCATTCTACTTGACCCTCAAGACACCATGCCATTCCTCACCTCCCCACAGAGTGTCCCCTGGCATTTGGCTGTTGCCCACACTGGACAGATCAGTTCTGCCTGGGAGATTACTGCCAGCCTGTTAATTACCAGATCCTTGGTCTCTGCTTATTCCTCATCCAAAGCAACTCCTCACCCTATATTCCCTTAACCAAATTTACTATGGTGGCTTCAGACAGGACCTCCATGCTGATGATTCCCAAATCTATACTTCTAGTCTTAGGCTCTCTTAAGGAGAGAAAGTCATCATACCAGAGCTGAATTTATAACTGCCTGAGGTCATCTTCACTTTCTTTTCCTACTGACACTTCAAAATCAACATGTCCAAAACCAAACTCTCACCCACTACTGCCAAATCTTACGCATTCTACATTTTGGTTAATAGTTGTAGTGACCTCAGAGCTGTGAACACTGTCAACCAAGTGTACGTTATGGTTTTAAAGGGGACTGTGTTCAATGGAGTTGCATTCCCCAAACACTAATGAAACAACATAGGAAGACAGAAATTATCTCACCCTATAGCTGCAAACCAAATTCACAGAACAAAAAGAAGTGTGTTCTGCTCTTCTTGTATTTCTTTACTATAATTCTCAACTCACATTCCAGCCTGATGATCCCTTTCAAGTGAATCCCATTAAATAAGAGTACAGTAGATTCCACCAAAAAAAATTGTTATAAAATTCAATACCTATTCCTATTTGAAAAAGAAATTTATTTTTATAAAGCCCTTTTCCTTTGTAATTGATAAGTAATCTCTAGGATAATACTTGAGACTGTGTGAACATCTTGGCCAAGAACTTTTCATCCAGTGGTTTTTAGCATCCATTGTTATCTTTGCCTGAATCGACTTTACATTAGCGATTAAAGTGGTGATTTTTAAATAATTATATCATTTCTTACATTTTACATGTAGTAGTTGGCATTCCCTCTCCTACCTTTGTTTGTTGAGTACCATTATGGATTAATGAAATCTAAAAAAAAAATTTTTTGTGGTATGTACCATCATTCTCTTTAATGCTCAAATTGCCCTAAATTTGGCCAATGGGAGTCTCTTCAAGTTAACACTTGTGTTCTTTTAACATGTCCTATTGGTCTTTGGTCACTTCCTTGTTTTCTGGCACAAGAAAACATTTCAAGTTTCCCTTGTATTTTCCATGCCTCAGACTAGAATTAGCCACTTCTCCAAGAAGCTCTAGCTCCTTTTAATGAGAAAAGGCATTTAGAAACCAAGATCTAGGTGCTAGTCCTGCTTATTGCTGGCTGGAGTTTCACTGTTTTAGACTCTGTCAGTGAACACTGTTAGAGAGAAGATTTGTTTTTTAAAACTATAAATTTAATCTACTCCAGAGAAATAGCTCCAACAGTATGAAAATACGCATATACAGGGTTATTTATTGCAGCATTCTTTGTAATTGCAAGGTACTGGAAAAAAATCTAAATGCCCATATATAAGAGAGAGGTTGAAAACAGTGTAACACAGTAGATACACAGTAGAATACTATGCAGCTGTAAAAAAGAACACAGAAGATTTTTATGAACTGATACAGATTTCCACAATATACTGTTAAATGGAAGAAAAAAAATCAAAGTGTAAATGCTTTACCCATCCTGTAAGAAAGAAAAGGATATGAAAAAATAAATGTATCTGCTCATCTGTACAAAAGAAATACAGGAGGGATAAAGCAGAAACCAATGAGATCAGTTACCTGTGGGAGATGGGTGGAAATGGCCACCTACTGGAGATGGGTGGGGAGCAATGGGAGAATGGGAGCAGGGTATTAGGGATGAGGAGGACTGATACTTCTCTATATGTAACCTTTTTATATAGCTCTGACTCTAGATCCATGGCAATGTTTCACATTCTCCAAAATAAATAAATACTAATTGAAATCAACCAGGATATGGGGTGGGGGTGGGGATGGAGGCTCAAAATGGAATTACAAACAGCAAAAAAAAAGTGAACCTAACTGTGTTACAGGTGAATAACATAACTACACTGATGAGTGCAGGAAGAAAAGAACTAACCTGAGGAACTCTAGAAAACAGTACTTTCACTGAATGCTCTAAGAGTAAAGAAAAAAGCTGTACATAAGTACTATACCTAGTTCATAATTTTTCTTCTCCCAGGACATACATGGGTTAGAAATTCTGGAATTACTTTATGTAAGCACTAGGATTGAACAAATATATGGTGCATATTCAGAGCTGATTTCTCGCTGCTGGAGATAAAGTTATAATAAGGAAACAGAGAAGGACAGAATGAACCCTGTGGCACTGAACGGGAATCCGAGGTATCAATGTTACGATAAAAAATGGGCAAAGGCTCTAAGTAGACATTTCTACATAGAAGATATACAAATGGCCAATAAGCACATGAAAAGATGATTAAGCTCGTTAGTTACTAGGGAAACGCAAATCAAAACCACAAGGTACCACTCCATATTAACTAAGATGACTATAAACAAAAAGACAGACAATAACAAGTGTTGGTGAGAGAAACTGGCACACTCATACACTGTTTGTAGGAATATAAAATGGTGCCACCCCTTTGGAAAACAGTCTGGCAGCTTTTCAAAAAGTTAAATGGAGTTACCATGTGGCCCAGCAATTCTACTCATAGATATATATCCAAAAGAAATGAAAACATATGTTCATGCAAAAAACTTGTACAGGAATCTTCATAATAGAATTATTCATAGTAGCCAAAAGGTAGAAACAATCTAAATGCCAAATAACTGACGAATGGATAAACAAAATATGGTATATCCATACAATGAAATATTATTTGACTATAAAAAGGAATGAAGTACTGATATATGTTACACCATGGTGGGATCTTGAAAACGTTATTTTAACTGAAAGAAGCCAATCACAAAGACCACATATTGTATGATTCCATTTATACAAACTGTCCAGAATTGGCAAATCTATAGAGACAAAAAGTAGATTAATGATTGCCTAGGGCTGGGGAGGATGGGTGGGAGATTGGGGAGAAACTGGAGAGTGACTGATACTGAGTACACGGTTTCTTTTTGGGGCAATGAAACTGTATTAAAATTGATTATGAAATCAATTCTGTACAACTCTGTAAATATACTAAAAATCACTGAATTATACAATTTACATTGGGGAATTATATGGTATGTGAATTGTGTCTCAATAAGACTGTTTTTAAAAAGTCAAGGTCAAGTTTACTTTAAATTAGAAAAAAGAAGAAAAGGTATTGTTACTTTAGTACTCGAGATCCTCTCTCTTCCTTTTTTTATTATTTATCTTTATTTTATTGAGGTCATAATAGTTTATAACTGTGAAATTTCAGTTGTACATTATTATTTGTCAGTCACCACACATATGTGCCCCTTCACCCTTATGTACACTCCCCAACCGCCTTCCCCGCTGGTAACCACTAATCTGTTCTCTTTGTCCATGTGTTTATCTTCCACATATGAGTGAAATCATACAGGGTTTGTCTTTCTCTGGCTTATTTCGCTGAAAATGCATCAATGTTTTCGCAAATAGGACAATTTTGTCTTTTTTATGGCTGAGTAGTATTTCATTGTATATATATACCACATCTTTATCCTTTTATCAGTTGAAGTCACTTGGGTTGCTTCCATGTCTTGGCTATTGTGAATAATGCTGTAATGAACATAGGGGTGCATAAATCTCTTTGAATTGTTGATTTCAAGTTCTTTGGATAAATACCCAGTAGTGGGGTAGCTGGGTCGTATGGTATATCTATTTTAACTTTTTTGAGAAATATCCATACTGTTTTCCATAGTGGCTGAACCATTTTGCTTTCCTACCAGCAGTGTAGGAGGATTCCCTTTTTTCCACATCCTCTCCAACATTTGTTGGTTTTTGTCTTGGTAATTATAGCCATTCTAACAGGTGTAAGGGGGATATCTCATTGTAGTTTTAATTTGCATTTCCCTATTGATTAGTGATGTCGAACATCTTTTCATGTGCCTGTTGGCCATCTGTGTATCAACTTTGGAAAAATGTTCATATCCTCAGCCCATTTTTTGATCAGGTTTTGTTTTTTTGTTGTTGAGTTGTATGAGTTTTTTATATATTTTGGAGATTAACCCCTTGTTGGATATATGATTTGCAAATATTTTCTCCTAGCTGTTGGGTTGCCTTTTCATTTTGTTCCTGGTTTCCTTTACCTTGC